GGTCCCCCCCCCTGCCCCCACAACAGCCCCCCTGCCCTACTTGTGCCTCTTGCCCTCCCACCCAAAGCCCCTGCCCCCACCCCTGCCAGAGAGGGCCCCCAGCTGCCAGGGCTATGGGGCCAGGGGCCCAAGGCTGCAGCTCCCTGCCCCCAGCAGCAGGCAGCTGCAGCAGATGCAGCATGGAGCCAGCTCCCCCACTACTCTGCCTCGGGTGGGGGTGGAGCCAGCTCATGGCTCCCCCTACCTCCCCCTCCCCCTTCCTCTCTGGGCAGGGCTGGGGGTTTCCCGCCCTATTTGGAAACACCTTTTGTAGGCTGGAGCTCAACCAGCCTGCAGAGCAGTTTGCTAAATTAGCAGGAAATCCACGGGTTTCTCTGCTAAAAGGAGAAATCCGTGTTTTCTCTGATAAAAAGGAGAAAAATCAGTGGTTTTCTCTGTTTTCCCATGAGAAATGGAAAACCCAGATCCCTGCTTATGAGGCACTGAGTTAACTGGACCAGTATGGCCCATCACTGATTTAGGCCCTCTCTTATCAGCATCACTTATTAACTTCCGTAGCTACTTTTGCCATGCAAATGCCTCAGTTTTTCTCTCTTCAACCTCATTTACAAGACCTATAATAAACACATTTTTTTATAAAGAAAAACCTGCATTGGAAACAGCTTGCAAGGCAACTTCTGTGAACTATATGTAGGTATACCTCCAAATATAACAAAGGGATGAAAAAGATCATAATCTGTTAAGATTTCTCTCTAACATAACGCATAATTTGTCCTGAGTTGTTGCATTTCAGCAATCACTCTCCCTTCCTTGATATAAGGGCCACTTGTTAAATGCTGTATGAGAAGTCAAACTCACATATCACTTTGACACTGCTGTCAACAAAATTTCAAGTGAATAACTGCATGTGGCTAAACAACATTAAGAAAGTTCTAACAGGCTTAATGGATAGTCAAGTGCATCAAGGGCTTCATTATTACTGGGCTAGCTCTATGACTATCCATTCACAGGGTCCCACTAAGTTTGTTCCCCCTAGTATCATGACCTTCGGCTTTTCTCCCTGTTGGGTGGAATTCTGTAATTCACCCAATTACGGCCTACATTACAGCCAACAAGCTGCAGCTTTACCTCCAGGAACCTGGAAATAAGTATTTACCATTATACAAAGCCAGACATTTCAAAGTCAAAACCTTTCAACAATCTTTCACCTTTCATTTGTTCTTGAAAAGATAGCAAAAATTTTGAGTAAAGTGCAAAACACCAAAAAAGGCCTAGATGCATGGGGTACTACTTACACGTTTCACCTGGTTCAACCCAGGCAACTCCACCTTGGCTTAGGATACCATCTCCCTAGCTGGTAGTTGGACTCTCAAGTAGCCTCTTCTAAAATACTCAAAGCCCTTCTCTTTTCTAAGGTCCTACAGATGCTACATTTCCTTTGATCCCAGCTTAGCGTTGGGATTCCAGCCTGAATGGAGCCATACAGAAACTTCTCCAGTTAATCCAGCTTCATTCATTTGAATCTGTACAACTGAACTCATCTGCGCCATTGCTTTGCCTGTCCTGCTCAGTTCTTTAGCAGCTTTACAACCTCCTTCAATTTCATTATAAGACCTCAAGACATAAACAAAGAACTTAACAGAGAAATCAAGTTTCACATAATATTTATAGAAAAAGATACAAATTTCCCAGTTCATCAAAGATGATATCAAGCCAAAACTTACAGTGATGTGTGAAGTTTAACTAAGATCAAAGGCTCCGGAATCCAAAATTCTGTTTCATTGAGAGATCTCAGACCTTCAAAAACCACACTACACTGTTTCCTGAAAAACAAAACAAAATACAACAAGCAATAAGAGACTTAAATCTCCTTGCTTTTAAGACCTGAATTATATGCACTACTGAAGGAAGTTCAAGCAAATAATATATTAAAGTTGCTTGAACTTCCTTCAGTAGTTTGCTTAAGTATATAGAGCAAAAGCTGTGTTAACCAGCACTTTATTAGCCAAAAAACTCTATTAACTGGCAACCAAGGGACATGGCAAAAACGAAACCAGAAGTACCACTCTGCAAGCAGAGTTTTTCTTTGCCAGTTCTTTGGCCCACGGCCCAGGGCAAAGCAGCCTGCATGGGGCAAAGCAGCCTGCACAGGGCCCCCCTCCCTGTCCCCCAGCACATTGACGCCAGGGGGTGCACCAGATGGTGCACGCTGGATTAACCGGAATATTTGTTTAACCAGCATCCCCCATTCCCGGGGGATGCCGGATAACAGAGCTTTTACTGTATATACACATTCCAAGAAAGGTAATTAAACTTAAGAATAAAAAGAAAGACATCAGTAGAATAGTAAATTACATCTGCAATAAAATGAAAACTAATAAAATTAAGAATATGCAATAACTGGATACAAAATGGACAGTTATCTTGACATTCATACATTTATAACAAATGAAAAAGGATTGAACAGCTGTTGCAAGAAAAACAAAGGATTAGTAGTTTCAGTTTCTCAGCGCTGCTGACCTTGGTTCCCCCACTCCCTGTCCGATCCTCAGTGCCGCTTAGAAATCATGGCAGCGCTCCCCCACAGTTGGAACACTCTGATTGGCTGTTTCTGTTGGCCAATCAGAGTGCAAATAAAGCATTATGGACAGACAGACAGAGATAGATAGATATAAAAGCAAAGCAAAGCAAAAAAGAGAGATCTGAATGTATGAATGAACAAGTGTAGGATGATTGGTAAAGGCAGAAGTAAGCTACGTGTCAGTAAACAAGTTACCAAATGGTGAATCATGCTAAAGAAGGCTAAATCATGCTAAAGAAGGCTAAAGAAGCAAGTCGGTACCAGGCAAAGAAGAAGATAAGCAGGAAAGACAAGTTTGCAAAATCTCTCTCGAGGCTAAAGACTCCCCTTTGTTACCTGTCAGCTCTGTCTTCCTGAGGGAAGCCTGGCACCCAGCTTGCTGGACCTACGAAGGACTTTTTCTATTCCCTCCCCTCAACACACACACACACACACCTCATCTAACCAGAACTAAGCGGAAGAAAAGTTTAATAGGCATCTTGGGCCGTACATTCCCTGGTCCCACTATGGGAGGCCTGTTTAAACTTGATTGACTAAAACTCAGTTGCTGGGTTAGGGAATGCTGAGGCAAGAAACCGAGTCAGAGGGGGTATGGGCAACATTTGAACAATGATTAAAAGTTCATCACAATGTCCAGCCTATTGGAGCCCTGACCAGAAATGCTGTCATACTTTTCCCGGGATGACTGGTAGAAGTCCTCCCCACAAAGTTTATGAACATTCCAAGTAATCAGTCCCTTTAAGTAAGATCTGGAGGTCATGCTAAACTGAGGCTTATTCACAACTGGTAAAATACAAAACTCTGATGCTGCAAGCATAGCTAGACCATCTGAGAAGAAACAATGTGGTATCCCATCCAGTATATCTTCTATTCATAAGAATTTCAAGCTGGCTCCTAAGTGTCTGGTTACTCCTTAAAACCTTATGTTTTTCCTAGTTGTTAATCAGTTTCTTGAGATGTTCCAAACCAGATAACCCCTTGTCAATAGAAAAGATAATAATTTACACAATTAAAAGAATGCTTTGAAGAGGCTGGACTAAGGGTATAAAAAGCTGTAAAAGCAGCAAACAGCATGCTTCAAGAGGGAGAAATCTGACACCATCCGTTGTTGTTCTCGAGAAGCTGAAAGAAATAGATCGTCTTTCTGTCATCTGTTTAACCTTCAACGATCATGCTAATAACTTTACCAGTCAGCAAACAACCCGAGTGCATTGGAATGGTAAGATCCCAGCTCTTGCTCTCTCTCTCCCTCTTTTTCTCTCTAGGCATAGATTTCTATACAAAATTGTATTAGTTAAGCTTAAGCTAGGTTTCCCCAAATACTCAACGAAACTAGGGTAATATTGTAATTGTTATTGTTTGTTTTCCCTTGTTTCCCTATTACTACTAGTACCATTATAAATGTCATATACTTAGCAATAAATAACTTTTATAATCTAACTGGTGGTATCTGGGTATATTTTTCCTTCTCTACTTCCCCTTCCCCACTTGGTCTGCAGCAATGCTTCTTTTACCCAAGCCAAAGATCCCTGTGAAGCCCAAAAACACTGTGGGGTCCACTCATCAAGAAGCTACCACTACTAGGACAGTTAGGGCAAAAGATTGGGACGTGCTGAGTTTGAGACGCATAAGGGGATCAGCTTGTACAGGCTGGTTGACCCAGTTTGGCTCAGATGTACCCTGTTCCCCTGAGCACTACCAGGAGTGACTAGAAATAACGATCACAAGCTGGCAGAGGGTAGATTCAGCCTAGACATCAGGACGCACTACTTCATAGCCAGAGCGGCTAGGATCTGGAACCAACTTCCAAGCGAAGTGGTACTGGCTCCTACCCTGGGGGTCTTTAAGAGGAGGTTAGACGAACACCTTCCTGGGGTCGTTTGACCCCAGTACTTTTTCCTGCCATGGCAGTGGGGGGTCGGACTTGATCTGCTCAGGTCCCTTCCGACCCTACCAACTATGAAACCGTGAAACTATATCCCATCACCACAGTCTGTTAAAATGGAGCTGCAACAGCCTTCCCTGAATACTTCTGTTGCCCAAGGAGGGCTTCTCGTTCAGCCTAACTCTGTTCTTGGTGTAACTGGGGTTGTGGCCGAACAGCTTTGGGTACAAAAAGGCAACTATTTGTTCAACCACAGGCTCTGCCGGGTTGGGACCCAAAAGGGGCTTCTGCATTTGGCGGGCTTTCCGTTGCAGGTGACTCACCGAACCCCCGTCCCTCCCCACTACCATGGGATAGGCCAGTTGGGAGGCCACAGCCACTCTCACTTGACCCTCGTGCCCACCAATTGTTAGTTTCAGATAAGCCACAGGGTAGGGCTAGGTGTCCCCATGGATACAGGTCAAATGAGTACATTCCCCCATGGGGATATCTTAGGTCTTCACATATTGGGCCTCAAATGGATACAAAAATAGTCATTTTAGCAAAATAGCAAGGAATACATCTGGTTACATTAGCCATTACTTATAATATTCTAAGATACAGTTGTGATATACTAGTGTTTGAGGGATAGGCTCTTGGGCCTGCTGTTTAGTCAGGCTCCTGCAGCTTTGGCCTAGGTATCTTGGGAAAGGCCAAGTCTGACAGTAACACTTAATCACAATTCAGTCATGCTTTGAATAGTATATTCTTAGTCTGGTTATATGCTACTCAGTACTGTAGGCCCAAGTTTCATGCTGTATACTACTCACTACTGTAGGCCCAAGAAAACTGCTAATGCCTGGGTCTTTATGCTTGGCTTGAGTTACATGTATGACTTGCACCTGATGGAAAGGGTAACTATGGAAAAATAATCTTGACTTAGAATGAAATGGGAAGTTGGCTAACTAAATTGAGTAAATATAGCCTGGGAAAAGTGGGTCAGTCAGAGCAAGATCTATACCTGTCTATGAATAGAAAATTAGAGCTAAAACATAACAAGTCCATGTATGACAAACAGAAGCAGGCTTATTAATTATAGAGTCAGATATTAGGGTCAGAAAGGACCTCAGTATGGTATCAAGTCCAACCCCCTGCCCTGCGCAGGAAAGAGGGCTAGGGTCAGACAACCCCAGCTAGGTGCTTGTCCAGTCTCCTCTTGAAGATCCCCAAGGTAGGGGAGAGCAGCACCTCCCTTGGACGCTATTCCAAACTCTGGCAACCCTTACTGTGAAGAAGTTCTTCCTAATGTCCAACCTAAATCTGCTCTCTGTCAATTTGTAGCCATTGTTTCTAGTTACTCCAAGGGGTGCCCTAGTAAACAGAGCATCTCCTATTCCCTGCTACCTTTCCCTGATTAATTTATAGGCAGCCACAAGACCACCTCACAGCCTTCTCTTGTAAAGGCTGAAGAGATCTAGGTCCCTCAGTCTCTCCTCATAGGGCCTTGTCTGCAGGCCTCTGACCATACAAGTGACCCTCCTCTGAACCCTCTCAAGGTTCTCCGCATCCCTCTTGAACTGCGGCACCCAAAACTTGATGCAGTACTCCAACTGCAGCCTGCGCAGTGCCGCATAGTGGGGAAGCATCACCTTCCTGGACATAGGAGGAAGGCATAAGCTAGTTATGCATTAAGAAATATACTAACTATAAGGTACACAAGAAGAGGAAACAGGTGTTCATCACCCTTGGGAGCCTACCCCTGAAAATCTGGTCACTGATCCAAGATTCTGCCCTGTGTAGAACTTTGATGCAGAAGTTGGGAGCTCCCAGACAAGACTTCACACACTGGCCATCCAGTGGCATCGCACGTGTTATATCTTGGGGTGGTAAGCATATTGGTTTGAATAAACTATAGTAGTAACTTGTTACTGCTAATGTTTAACAAATTTGTTTAGGGAGTGTTTCCTCCCTTATTGTTATACAGACAATATGGTGGAGAAAGTGGGCAACCAGGTGAAGCTTCTTTGGACCATGTAAATAGAGGAAACAAAAGACATTTGTTAACTGCTGTACTTAAGCCTTTTCGGTAAAAAGGGGCAGGGGGAACAAAGTGGTTTCCATAATTGATTTGGCTAATGCCTTCTTTGTGATTCCTACATCTCATCTCGTCGTATAAATTTATTTTTATAATTTTACTGAGGTGTCTCAGGGTTTCCATAATGCCCCAGCTTCATGCCATGCGCATGAAGCGACTGCCTGCCCAATACTAAACCATAGTAACATCTTAGGTTGATGATATCTTAATCCAAGGACCCACACAAGTTGACCAAGCAGTATTCCACATTATTCAAGATACAGGATTTAAAGTTAACTGACAGAAAGCTCAATTAGTACAGCAGGGGGTCATATATTTGGGAATCATTTTAGGCCAGCATAATGTTTATTCATTAAAGGGCTCTTCTGGGTACCTTACATTTCTTTCAGGACTTTACCAAAATGTTTGCTGAGAAATCCTGATCCTTATGGAAATTGTTAAAGATAGACCGTAAATAAGAATGGGCCCAGAGCAAATGGAAGCCCTAAAGATCCTTAAGGAAGATTTAACCAAGGCCTTAGCTTACCTCCAGGTGGGATACCCCTTCATTATTCATTTTGGCACAACAGAAGCAGCTATGGGAGCCACTCTATTACATAGACAAGAAAGAAAAATGAAGATAATTGCTAATACTTCCAAGACTTTAAGCTCTCATGAGCAAACCTTTACCCCCTGCAAGAAAGAATGCTTAACACTAGACTGGGTGCTGAGACATTGGGAATATGTCACTGGGAGCAGCCAGATTGTTATTCAGACTATCCATTCACCATTGAAAGACATTATATCCAGAAAACTTCATGATGGACAAGTCTCAAGTCCTAGGTTGTTGACCCAATGGACTCTGGCACTAATGAGTAGGGGTGTTGAGGTCCAAAAGGAAGAAGGGTTGGCCCCAACCCCTTCTGGGTTATTAGGGGATGGAGAAGAACATGACTGTCCATTACCTGAGCATCAGCATATTGATCGGCCAGTAAAAGGAGGTAAGTAAATCCTTTCAGGAAACAGAGCTAGGAAAAAGAGGTATGGCCTATAGACAGGTCCAGCTATTATCAGATAGAAAAGCAAAAATAGGCCTTGAGGCAATTCAAATTAATAATGGTCAGGAAATTATGGAAGCTATCCATTTGGCACAGGCCACAGAAATAGTAGCGATTTTACAGGTTCTGCAGCAAGAAAGGTTAGATCAGGATGTAGCTATCTTTATAGATTCTGACTGGGTCACCAAAGCTATAGTAATTTGGCTGCATATTTGGGTAGCAAGAAGTTTTTTTATTTTTATTTATATATTTATTTTTTTACGGGAGATGGAACCAGTTGCCCATGTCAATCAATGGCAACAAATACATAGTCTGGTAAAACAAAAGACTAGACAAACGTGGGTTAATCATATGAAGGCCCACCAAAAGGGAAATCCCCAGAAATTTACTGGAATAACCAAGCCAACAGCCTGGCAAAGCAAGCTGTTTTACTGACACAATCTGAAGAAGATGTGGTCAACGTAGTTAATGTCCAAGCATGAGTAAAGGAGTCTAGCTGGGATCTTGACTTGGCCACTTTTCAAGAAGCAAATGAGGAGATACATGCCCTTAAAGAATAAGATCAAGGCCACAAAGGGAAGTATGTTGTGTCTGAACAAGAGGGGATAGTTTGGGCACAAAGAAGAGAAATTGAAAGGAAAAGATGGATTGTTTCAAAACATGTCAGAACGGACTTAGTACAATTTATACATGAACAGAGCAATTCAGGATATAAAAACACGAGACAGAATCAAACCAACTGCCTGTATAAACAAGAATATGAAAAACTGGTGCAATAACTTTTTGTCCTGCACTTTAGCAAATGCCAACTCCCAGGTTACAAAGAGCCCTGTTGCACATCAACAGATAGTAGGCCCGGGGCTAGAATCCAAATCGATTATATTGGACTACTACCCACAACAGCAAGAGGAAATAAGTATTGTTTAGTAATAAGCGATCCATTTACAAAACAGATAGAAGAGGTCCCACGAAAATCAATATTGCTCAGGTTGCCACTGTCCAATTGTTTAATATAGTCCTTTCCCGGTGGGGAATCAAAAAACAAATGGATTCGGATCAAGGTTCCCATTTCACAGGGGAAATAATATACGAACCACGTAAATTATTGGGAATTAAGCAAAAATTTCACACTGCTCATCACCGTCTTTAAGGCAGGTTGAGAGTATCATCAAAGACTCTCTCTGAACAGTTAAGGCTTCTGGTAAAGATTGGGACTAGAAGCT